AGAGAGAGAGAGAGAGAGAGAGAGAGAGAGAGAGAGAGAGAGAGAGAGAGAGAGCTTGCTGACAGAAGAGAAGAAGAAGAGAGTGACAAAAAGAATCTCCTAATGTCTCCTTTCTTCTTCTGCGTTTAGTAAACTCGCAGCGCATCCTGGATGATGTCCGACGATGTCCATTTCTGGGACTTTGAGCAACTATTACGTGGACTCCATCATAAGTCCCGAGAGCGATGAACTCTCGGGACCAGCTCGTTTTCCCGGCGTGCAGTACTCCGGGTCCAGCCCGGMTGTGAGTGCGGGAGGGAGGCAGCCGGTCGGCGCGGCGCATGTGGACCACTCCGAGCCGTACCCGTCCTGCAGCTTCCAGCCCAAACCTCCGGTCTTCTCGTCGTCCTGGGCCCCGTTCGGCCCACATCACGGTGCCAGTGGCCTCTCGGCTGTCTACCACCCGTACCTCCCGGCGCAGCACGTGCCCGCGGCTGAAACGCGCTACCTTCGCTCTTGGCTGGACTGCGCCCCGCGCGACCCCGACCCGGTCCCGGGCCCGAGCCAAACGGGCCAGGTCAAACTAGAGCCCCAGCTCGGACAAAAGGGCGGAGAGATCGCGCTGAAAATCAGCGGGCAGCACCAGAACGAGAACACAACCTACATCTTTGAGTCAGCGCGCGAGCTGAGTCACCAGCCGGCAGCCATCGCGGGACCAGGGTTCGAAGACAGGAAGGAGCTCTGCGATGGGAGTAAGGACAAAGACAGCGTGGATCAAAGTAAGTCCTGAAAACAGGAAATAAGAGGCTGCGGAGGGGAATGGGGTAGGAGACTGTAAAYGCTTTTAATGCTGCCATAAAACAAGAAGAGCCCACCCCCACCCCCACGCGCTTTGACTGAACTCCGGTGTTCAGCCTGAATCAGCTCTCAGGAGGCAAAAACACATGAAATCTGCTTTAAAACCCACCTCAGCATCCTTTTCTGTTCAAACACACAGACTGAGGGAAAACCTGAGGGTCAAAATCAAAATGCTGACAAAGGGATTCATATTAGAATAAAAACGTTTTGTTTATATTCCAGTCRTCTTGTCACAGAGCAGAAAGTACAATAGTATTTTTAGAGCGCTAATGCGGATCTTCAGTCCTTAAAAAAGGCCACGCGGGGCCTCTTTATACAAAAAAAGATCTTATTTTCTATGACAAAGTGACATAAATCAATTTACATACTTTAAATGATTACATGCTTTAAATGATAAGCCTTAAAATGTGTAGCACGCTTATATTTATACAAATAATTAAATTAATTAAGTATATAAATAGATTTATGTCACTTTGTCATAGAAAATAAGATCATTTTTTTGTTTGTTTGTTTCTTTGGGGCAAATTTTGTTTAACTTGTAGCCTACTCTGGTGATATTTTTTATTTCACAAAACGTCAAAACTATTAAGCTCGCAAGCACACTGGCGCGCACGCGCTTGTGGGTGAGTTCTACAGGTATGTTGACGCTCCCTGTTTCCACTGAAACAACGTGGAGTTTAAAAAAACACGTTATTCTGCTCCTAAAATCACTGCAGGGCAAGTGTTTCTGCAGCGGGTTAGAGGGTGTTTCCCGGTTCCTCCAGTTTCCTCCCAGACCTAAATATATATAT